ACGGTTTGGAAACTTCAACTAGTTCAATGGGCGGCAGCCAGATTACTAACTGGGGCTGCATACAGGGAGCATACCATCCTCCTGCTATACCAACTCCACTGGCTGCTTGTCCATCTCCGAGCCCAATTCAATGTTCTGGTTTTGACCTATAAAGCTCTATACGGTTCTGGCCTAGCTTACTTGTCCGAACGCATCCACCCCTACATCCCACCTCGTAATCTAAGATCATCCGGGGAGGCCCTGCTCTCACTCCCGTCAACAGCACAGATGCATCTGGCGGGGACGAGAGACAGGGCCTTCTCGGCTGTGGCCCCCCACTTATGGAACACACTCCCAAATTGTTTCAATTCATAAATACTCCTCACACTATTCCAGCACAGCTTGAAATTGTTTCAAAAGTCATTTTAATACAAATTCATTCTGATTTTAGAAACTTCCGAACAAGATCAACCAAGCCTAATAGATACATCCCACAAGGGGCTTTCCTGCAGCCCATGGAAGGGATTATGCTTCTTCGGTCCTTCTTCTATCTGCCCTCCTGACCAAGTAAACAGAGAAGAAAGAAGAAGTGGTCGTAGAAAGTGCTTTTAAAAAAATGTCAAGTTGTGCAGGCCTGAGCATTGCAAAGGTTATTAATAAGAATGAATACACAAGCTGGGAGAGGTTGCAGCAGTTTGCTTTTGCCATGACCATATTCTTTCTTCCACATACTTACTGATATATCAAGTTCCACTCATGTCTTCCCTTCCATCTCTGCCCTAAGTGTGCCTAATTATTTATTAAGTCCAGTAAGGAGAAACCAGAAAGAATTTTTTAATCTTCAGTGAATCACATTATCATATAATGAAAATTCCTGTGACGCCTCCAAAAAAAACCCTACCCCTTCCTGATTTATGGGTGACTTTTTTTGTTTTGGTTTGTTTCTGCTGTTTGGAATACTTTTCCTCAAACACAAGATCTATTTAATCCATCTATTTAAAAAAACAAATAAGTTTGGTTAGTTTGTTTGCATAATTCAAAGATAGAAACCCTATCTTGGCAATATTATCTTTCCTCGCCCCTCTGCCATCAGTGTGGTTTGAATAATCTTTAGTGTTTATCTTGTTCTTTGACATCATTGGCTGCATCTTTATCCCCTGGGTGTATTTTTTATTTTTCCAAAAAAAAAAAGTTAAGATGGCTTTTAGTACTGTGGGGAAACATTGTCCATTTGACATGGAGCCAGAAACTAGACTGGAACATTAAAGTAGATGAAATAGAATCATAGAGTTGGAAGAGACCTCATGGGCCATCCAGTCCAACCCCTGCCAAGAAGCAGGAATATTGCATTCAAATCACCCCTGACAGATGGCCATCCAGATTCTGTTTAAAAGCCTCCAAAGAAGGAGCCTCCACCACACTCCGGGGCAGAGAGTTCCACTGCTGAACGGCTCTCACAGTCAGGAAGCTCTTCCTCATGTTCACACGGAATCTCCTTTCTTGTAGTTTGAAGCCATTATTCCGTGTCCTAGACTCCAGGGAAACAGAAAACAAGCTTGCTCCCTCCTCCCTATGACTTCCTCTCACATATTTATACATGGCTATCATATCTCCTCTCAGCATTCTCTTCTTCAGGCTAAACATGCCCAGCTCCTTAAGCTGCTCCTCGTAGGGCTTGTTCTCCAGACCCTTGATTATTTTAGTCGTCCTCCTCTGGACACATTCCAGCTTGTCAATATCTCTCTTCAATTGTGGTGCGCAGAATTGGACACAATATTCCAGGTGTGGTCTATCCAAAGCAGAATAGAGGGGTAGCATTACTTCCCTACACTATGCTCCAATTGATGCAATCCAAAATCCCATTGGATTTCTTTGCCTCTGCATCACATTGTTGGCTCATGTTTAACTTGTTGTCCATGAGGACTCCAAGATCTTTTTCACACGTACTGCTCTCAAGCCAGGCATTGTCCCCCATTCTGTATCTTTGCATTTCATTTTTTCTGCCTAAGTGGAGTATCTTGCATTTGTCACTGTTGAACTTCATATTTTTAGTTTTCAGACATCAAATCTTTCTGTGGAAATACATGAAAGCTTCTGTAGCAATGAAGGTTTCTGTGAAACCTTACAGACTAACACATTCTATTATATATTTTCATGGAAGGCAACCCAGTTCATCAAACACATGGGATTGAAACAAATTCCTATTCAAAATACCTGGCAAGGTAGGGTGGTCACAGAGTGGCCCTCTAAAGATTATTAGACTATCATTTCTAATGTTTCTAACTATTAATAATTATTTACTCTAAATAGTTAGAAACATTAGAAAGAAGGAAAGAGGGAAAGAAAGAACGAAAGAGAAGGAAGAAAAGAGAGACAGCAGAAGAGGAAGAAAAAGGGGGGAGGAAAGAGATAGAGAAGGAAGAGAAGAAGGAAACACGGGAGGGAAGGAAGGAAAAAAGGAGAGAAAGAGGGAAGGTTGGCCACAGCAATGCGGGTTGGGTACAGCTAGTCTATATAAATAAAAATGTAATGTTTGTTTGTGGGATTGACATAACTCAAAAACCACTGGACAAATTGACACCAAATTTGGACAGCATACACCTAACAACCCTTCACTCAAAAAAAAAAAGATTTTGTCCTTCACTCAAAAAAAATAGATTTTGTCATTTGGGAGTTATAGTTGCAGGGATTTATAGTTCACCTACAATCAAAGAACATTCTGAACTCCGCCAACAATGGAATTGAACCAAACATAGCACACCAATGACCAACAGAAAACACTAGAAGGGTTTGGTGGGCATTGACCTTGAATTTGGGCATTGTAGTTGACCTACATCCAGAAAGCACTGTGGACTCAAACAATGATGGATCTGGACCAAACTTGGCACAAATATTCCATATGCCCAAATATGAACACAGATGGAGTTTGGGGGAAATAGATCTTGACATTTGGGATTTGTAGATTCTGGGATTTATAGTTCACCTACAATGAAAGAGCATTCTGAATCCCACAAACGACAGAATTGGGGCAAACTTCCCACACAGAACTCCTATGACCAACAGAAAATACTTAAGGCGACCCAGTCCAACTCCCTTCACCAGGGCAAGAAAATGTAATCAGAGCCCTCATGACAAAGGGCCATCCAGCCATAGATATAGATAGATAGATATGATTCACACACACACAGATACAGTATCATAGATTTGACAGGGATCCCTAAGAAGGACAATGACATGTTGCATATTCCAGAGCAGGCAAACAAGACACTCTCCACATCAACACTGACAAAGAAACAGCAAGAAATACTGTTTACCCACCAGATATAGACATTACATATATTAGAAACCAACACTTTCTCATTACTTTATTTTCCAGATCACCAGACTGGGCCACAGCAACGCGTGGCAGGAGATGGCTAGTCTATATAAATAAAAATGTAATGTTTCTTTGTTTGTGGGATTAACATAACTCAAAAACCACTGGACGAATTGGGACCAAATTTGGGCAAAATACACCTGTCTGGCCAATAAGTGACCATCACTCATAAAAACACTGAAAAACACAGCACAAGGGACTTAAAAGTAAAAAAAAATACATTACAATGTATGCGCAAAACCACACATCTATATAAAAAAATGTAATGTTCGTTTGTGGGATTACCAGAACTCAAATCCACTGGACAAATTGACACCAAATTTGGACACAAGACACCTAACAACCCAATGTATGTCCTCCATATTTGGCAAAACGTCTCACAACACAAGGAGTGACCATCACTCAAAAAATTATGATTTTGTCATTTGGGGGTTGTAATTGCTGGGATTTATAGTTCACCTACAATCAAAGAACCCCACCAGTGATGGAATTGAACCTAACTCAGCACACAGTTCTCCCATGACCAACAGAAAATACTGGAAGGGTTTGGTGGACAGTGTCTTTTGGTTTTGGAGTTGTAGTTCACCTACATCCAGAGAGCACTGAGGACTCAAACAATGATGGATCTGGACCAAACTCTACACGAAAACTCAATATGCCCAAATGGGAACAATGCTGGAGTTTGGGGAAAATAGAATAGACATTCGGGAGTTGTAGTTGCTGGGATTTATAGTTCACTTACAATCACAGAGCATTCTGAACCCCACCAATGATAGAACTGGGCTAAACCTCCCACACAGAGCCCCCATGTGGGCCACAGCAAAGCTTGGCAGGGGACGGCTAGTATATATATGCGCAAACACACATATAAACAAATATATACACACATATACACACACAAAACCCACACACACATATATATACGCAAACACACATATAGACAAATATCTACACACACAAAACACAGACTGGGTCACAGCAATGCGTGGCAGGGGATGGCTAGTAAATAAATAAATAAATAATAGCATTCCATGGAATTGAGTACCATGCCTAGGGGTGATAGCAGTTGTCGTCCCCCAATATTGTGAAGGTTGCACTGTTTCCACTCCTATGAGAAGAAACAGGCTGGTGTAAATAGCTTGGCTTTTTCTTGCTAAGCAGTTGCCACAAAATACTTTCTCTGGCCATTCCACAAGCAGAGCCTGCAGACAAGATCTTCCCTTGTGTATTCCCAGGCACACCATCTGTGCATGTGAAGATTAATGAATATGTCTAAATTTTGTAGATAAGGGAACCATCTAAGAAAGAAACTCATGCGTTATGTTGCTTACTTACATCTTTAAAGATATATTTCTGCTCTTGTTCCCCATCTCAGCATGGCAAAAAAGCATTCTTCTCCTACATTGTGGAAGTTTTGACCCTTCAAAGAGATGTCCTCATGTTCCAACACAAGCAAGAACACAAAACACTAAACACCACATTGTCTCTGTTCCCCTCTTTTTCTCATACAAACACATACTTGGTATATAAAAAGCCTCTCCGCATTTCCTTACTCCCCTCTTATCAGTTTATCCAGTTTGTTCTTCTAACGCTCATTAGAACGACACATGTGCCCAGCTCTTTACGACCGAAAATAAATGCTTACCTTGCAGAGAGAAGTGTGTCCTGAAGAGCCGAACTTCAGAGTCGTGCCTGCTTCTTTGAGAACAGTTTGTCTCCAGAACCTCTGAGGTATTACTGTCATTCTAACCCTTTTCCCAGATTAAAAAAAAACAGAAGGTCCACTCCCAGTTATTACATTGCCATTATGTCCAAAGCCTGATGTGCTGTGTGCCCCACCTCTGTAGCTTATCTTTCCAGCTCAAGCCTGGCTTGCCTGAAAGGATAACTAATACAAGCAGGCAGCTAAGTACCCTATATGATTTTTTCAAACCCCTTCTTCAGCATCCCTTATGGCTTCAAAAGCAACAAGTCCAAATGTGAGTAACCGGGTGAGTCCGTTGCCACAAAAACAAGGTACCCTCCAGGCACTTGCAAAGGGAAGCATAAGCTTTCTTGTTCCCAATAATAAATCCACGGTTATGTTCTGATTAATGTGTTTTGTTGAAAGTAAGTCTCCTCAATTAAATGCTTTAAGGATTCCCCACTCCTGTCCCCCCTCCCAAAGCATACTGACATTTACTAGGAAAATGTAATATGATACTGAACTGTCAGCTATCCAAACAAAATTGCCATTCTTTTCTTCCTCGAATAGCTCAGTATGGATGAGGAGCAGCACTATCAGTAGCAAGTGAGAACGGTACTAAACGTCTTTCCAGAAACAAAACATCAATTACTATCAGAGACATATTTTCCATTAGCAGTAAATTAACAGTACAATGAACTTTGCAATGAAAAGCTGAGCTCCTGGAAATGCATGTGCCAAGCAATGCAGAGGTGTAGATGTTTTTTGCCCTTAGATTCGAGAGAAGGACTTCTTTTCTGCCCAATAAGAATTGTGTATCCCAAATTCAATCATATGTCTATGTGTACAGTATTATTATTATTATTATTATTATTCTTTATTTGTACCCCGCTAGCATTTCCCGCAGGACTCGATGCAGCTTACAAAGGCCAAGGCCTCAACACAACAACAGCAAAACAATAACAATACAATTAAAGCAAATTAAAACATAAGCAATAACAAAACAATACATCATTACGCAATAAAAACCAGGGCCGGGCCAGTGATGAGTACAGGTTAAAAATTGCTGTGTGTGGCAGGTGGTATGTTGGATTTCCGGGCAAGTGCAATGTGCAAAGAGTCTTAAACTCTAATAAAGTGCTTCTGGGATGTAGTGCTGGAGATTATCCTATTCCGGAAAGGCACATCGGAATAGCCAGGTCTTCAGATTCTTCCTGAAGACTGCCAATGTGGGTGCTAGTCTAATATCTTTGGGGAGGGTGTTCCAGAGTCAGGGGGCAATCACAGAGAAGGCCCTGTCCCTCATCCCCACCAAACGCGCCTGTGATGCAGGTGGGATTGTAAGCAGGGCCTCTCCGGATGAACGAAGGGAGCGCATGGGTTCATACACAGAGATGCGGTCACGCAGGTAGGCAGGTCCCGAACCGTTTAGGGCTTTGTATGTAAGCACCTGCACCTTGAATTGGGCTCGGTAGGTAAACGGCAGCCAATGGAGCTCCTTAAACAGAAGGGTTGACCTCTCTCTGTAAGGAGTATGAGTGTTTGAGGACCAGGACATCCGTAGGGATACCAAGATGCTTGTTTATAAATCATAGAATCAAAGAGTTGGAAGAGACCTCATGGGCCATCCAGTCCAACCCCCTGCCAAGAAGCAGGAATATTGCATTCAAAGCACCCCTGACAGATGGCCATCCAACCTCTGTTTAAAAGCTTCCAAAGAAGGAGCCTCTACCACACTCCAGGGCAGAGAGTTCCACTGCTGAACGGCTCTCACAGTCAGGAAGTTCTTCCTCATGTTCAGATGGAATCTCCTTTCTTGTAGTTTGAAGCCATTGTTCCGCGTCCTAGTCTCCAGGGAAGCAGAAAACAAGCTTGCTCCCTCCTCCCTGTGGCTTCCTCTCACATATTTATACATGGCTATCATATCTCCTCTCAGCCTTCTCTTCTTCAGGCTAAATATGCCCAGCTCCTTAAACCGCTCCTCATAGGGCTTGTTCTCCAAACCCTTGATCATTTTAGTCACCCTCCTCTGGACACATTCCAGAGGATTGTGGCACAGCTGGCTGAGTGTCAGCTGCATTAAGATCACTCTGACCAAAAAGGTCATGAGTTCGAAGCCAGCCCGGGTTGGAGTGGGTTTCCAATCAATTGTGTGTACCCTGTTGTCGACCTTTGCAACCCAAAAGACAGTTGCATCTGTCAAATAGGAAAATAAGGTACCACCTTAAAGTGTGGGGAGGCTAAATTAACTGATTTATGAGACCATAAAGAAGACTCCAGCAAAGCATTCCAGCGGGGAAGCATGCGAGGAATGCGGAAGTACTTCATCAGTGTCACAGATGGACGATGAAAGTGACAGCTCCCCTGGCGGCCAGAAAAAAGTTAAATAGCCTCTGTGTATGTCTGTATATGTTTGTATGTCAAAAATTGGCATTGAATGTTTGCCATATATGTGTACGCTGTAATCCGCCCTGAGTCCCCTGCGGGGTGAGAAGGGCGGAATATAAAAGCTGTAAATAAATTAATAAATAAATAAAAATTGTCAATATCTCTCTTGAATTGTGGTGCCCAGAATTGGACACAATATTCCAGGTGTGGTCTGACCAAAGCGGAATAGAGGGGTAGCATGACTTCCCTAGATCTAGACACTATGCTCCTCTTGATGCAGGCCAAAATCCCATTGGCATTTTTTGCCACCACATCACATTGTTGGCTCATGTTTAACTTGTTGTCCACAAGGACTCCAAGATCTTTTTCACACGTACTGCTCTCAAGCCAGGCATTGTCCCCCATTCTGTATCTTTGCGTTTCGTTTTTTTCTGCCTAAGTGGAAGGACAATAAAGTTATTGTCCTCCCAACTCTGCTATATGCTTGTGCGACGTGGACTGTTTACAGACATCACATGCAATCCTGCTATATGCCTGCGAGACGTGGACTGTCTACAGACATCACATGCAACTCCTGGAACGATTCCATCAGAGCTGCCTCCAGAAAATCCTGCAAATCTCTTGGGGAGACAAGTGGACAAATGTCAGCGTGCTGGAAGAAGCAAAGACCACCAGCATTGAAGCGATGGTCCTCCGCCATCAACTCCGCTGGACCGGTCACGTTGTCCAGATGCCTGACCACCGTCTCCCAAAGCAGTTGCTCTACTCTGAACTCAAGCACAAAAAATGGAACATTGGTGGGCAGGAAAAGAAATGTAAAGATGGGTTCAAAGCCAACCTTAAAAACTCTGGCATAGACACTGAGAACTGGGAAGCCCTGGCCCTTGAGCGCTCCAGCTGGAGGTCAGCTGTGACCAGCAGTGCTGTAGAATTTGAAGAGGCACAAATGGAAGGCAAAAGAAACATGCCAAGAGGAAGGCACGTCAAGCCAACCCCGACCAGGACCACCTTCCACCTGGAAACAGATGCCCTCACTGTGGGAGAAGATGCAGATCAAGAATAGGGTTCCACAGTCACCTACGGACCCACCGCCAGTACACTGATCCTGGAAGACTATCCTACTTGGACAATGATGGATCGCCTAAATAAGTACAGTATGATTCATCACTGTTCACATAAATTGGCTCAGTAATCCTTGAAACATCTTATAATACAGAACGGTGTTGTCTCCATATCACAGATATGGAGAAGATGAGACTTTGGTCCTTATCCCTCCATACTGTTGTACCATTACAGCAATGATTTTCTCCCACTTTTGTCATGGTGTTTACTGTAAAGTCGTTGGAAATGTGTGTGTTTTTCAAGCTGAAAATAATTTGTGCTTAAAGGAGTGCCGAGAGAGTAGAGGGAGTTGCTGCAGTGCCATTGTTTTCTGTTTTTGTAGAACTAGTCCAACTAGTCCAATGCTCGGCAGCCATGATTTTAACAGGAGCGGAGCGCAGGGAGCATACAACCCCCCTGTTGCGCCAACTCCACTGGCTACCGATCTGCTACCGGGCTGAATTCAAAGTGCTGGCGTTGGCCTTTAAAGCCCTAAACGGTTCCGGCCCAAGCTACCTATCTGACCGCATCTCTGCCTATGAACCCACCAGGACTTTGAGATCTTCCGGGGAGACCCTGCTCTCAATCCCGCCTGCTTCTCAAGCTCGGCTGGCGGGGACGAGAGATAGGGCCTTCTCGGTGGTGGCTCCTCGGCTGTGGAACGCCCTTCCTACGGACATTAGACTAGCACCATCTCTAATGGTATTCCGCAAAAAGGTGAAGACCTGGCTGTTTGAGCAGGCGTTCGAATAATTAGTGCAATGATTGGTTAATGAACACTGGAATGGAACAATGGATGACGAATCTGGAACATGTTTTTGATGACGAGACGACAGTGAATGGGTATTGTAGTAACTGTTTATTAATTGTGTAATGTGTTAGGTTGTTAACTGTTTTTATACTGTAGCACTGAATTTTTGCTGTTCGTATTTGTTGTGAACCGCTGTGAGTCGCCTTCGGGCTGAGAACAGCGGTATATAAGTAAGGTAAATATAATAAATAAATAAATACTCCTGTCATACCATGTTGAGTTCTGGACACAACATTTCAAGAGACTATCGACAAGTACAATACAATGCAAAACTTTATTACAGTCACTGACCAGCACAAAGTGGGACACAAATGCCTTGGGAAGGGGAAGCACACTATTGACAAGTATGAACCTGGCTAGATGAGGGCAAACAATATGTTCAGAAGCTCATAAACTACCGTATGTTCTGGCGTATAAGACTACTTTTTAACCCAAGAAAATCTTCTCAAAAGTCAGGGGTCATCTTATAGCGGGAGTCATAAACTAATTATCATAGAGAATGACTAAATGAGTACTTAAATTGGGAAAAGAGGAGCCTTTTGACTTGATAGCACGAATCCACTATTCTACTATAGTCATGTAATTATGAATAATGGATACATACCTAGTCATGTTGGGGGACTTCAACATTCATGCTGAGACCACCCTGTCAGGAGCGGCTCAGGACTTCATGGCTACCATGGGAACCATGGGTCTGTCCCAAATGGTATCTGGCCCCACCCATAGTGCTGGACACACATTAGACCTGACCTTCTGTATGGGGTGGGATGATAGTGATGGTGTAGTGGAGGAACTTTCCATCGTTCATTTGTCATGGACCAATCACTACCTGGTCAGGTTTAGATTCACTGGGTCTCTAAACCTCCTCATGGGTGGAGGACCAATTAGGCTTATGGATCTTGATGGA